CACCTTTTCCTTCCTTTCCCCACCCTTCCTTCCCCCACCTTTCCTTTTCCTACCCTTTCTTCCCCCCACCTTTCCTTTCACCCATCCTTCCTTTCCCCCATTCTACATTTCTACTTTCCTCCCCTATGCCTCCCCCACCTCTCCTCATCCACCCAATATTGGACTTCTGGTATACAATTTCACATCTAGAAAATTGGCCAACAATATACTACAACCTGAATATGTTTTTAGAGTTCCAGACTCAAGATTTTTCACCACTCTGTATCCAAAACCTGTCATTTTAACATGTGGAACAAGTTTTACACTGCCTGTCACATTTAGACCATTAGAAAAGGTTTGTAACCAGTCAATATGCCAGCTTACTCTTAAGTTAAAAGTCGTTAACTTACACACATAATAATCTCACATCCTGTCAACAAGAGGCCAACAGACCATAGAACAGACTCGCAACAAGTTGCTCCAACAAATCTGATATTGTCTACTTGTAAGAAGTTGTTAACTAGTTCATGACAACAGGGATGACAGCAGGGATGGATCCAGAATGATCTGGTAGGGGGGTGCAAATTTTTTTAGGGACCCGTATTTAAAAAAATTTTCCCGTTCCGGAAAAATTTTTAGGCAAAAAAAATTTTCCGGACAAGTACGTTGCAATTACCAGTGACTTTACCCGTCTATCAACTTGTTCCACTACTGCAAAGTCTTGCTTGACTACAGTATTCAAATTGTAATCGCTTATCATCATGTTATTACTCAAATTACTGAATCTCATTTTGTCTCTAATAATTTTTTGCTTTATCATGAAAAATAGCAACCCCTCTGCACCCCCTTAGCCGCCAAGCTGGGGACCCCCCCCAGTAAATCCATCCCTGGCTCGTAGCAACTTGTTATGAACAACCTGTATTAGTCTTGTTGGAACAACTTTTAGCGAGTCTTTACCGTCATCAACCTTGTAACAAGTTGACAACAACTTGTACCAGACTTGTCACAACAACTGGGAACAAGCAGTGCGAACACATAATTATATAGGCTTGACAACAACATTGTTACAACTTGTTTGCAGATCTGCAACAATTTGCGCGTTTTATGTGAGATTAGAACATGTCAAATACTTGTGACAAGCATCTACACACACACGCAAAAACGCACAAGTTGTTACCGATCTGCAGACATGTTGTTACAAATCTGTTGACAAGTTGTGTTCGCACTGCTTGTTCCCAGTTGTTGTAACAAGTTTGGAACAAGCTGAACAACTTGTAACAAGCTGGACGGCATTATCAGACTTGTTACAAGGTTGTTCTAACTCGTCCGATACGTCATGATGTACCAAGAATTTTACAAGGTTAGTGATGACCGAAGGTAATGTAACAATATTGTTATATCATGGCTGTGTCAGACTTGTTGGAACAACCTTGCAACAAGTCTGGCAATATCAACAAGGTTGTTGCAACTGTTAACAAGTTGTTCCATACTTGTTCACAACTTGGGACAAGCAGTGCGAACACAACTTGTTGACGGTTTGTTTGCAGACTTGCACTCACTTGCTACAAGATGTAGGTTTTTGCGTGTGTATTGGGAATACGTTGTTATCTGAGAATGTATACATGACTTTGTACTAAGTTAAACAATTATTCATGCAATTACATTTTTAGGGTCAGTACGAAGACAAGATTGAGTTTCAAACCAAAGTAAGGTCACTTTGATATTAATGAAAACTATTTAAGATTATTGGCTATTTGTGTTGTACTGTAGATTTTTTGGCATCTTGTTTGATAGAACTGGCAGGGGTGGAAAAAATAGGCAAGCACGCGAGCGCTGCTCGCAGGAAATTTTAAACAGCTGCAGGAAATTCGTTTGAATGAAGATGCGCTATTGAAACTTTGAAGGAAACCTTAACACCCATGTCCCATTATGGGCGCAACAACATATGGTTGACAGACACTATTCCTTGAATTTAAGGCCATGGTCAGCTAGGACACTATATATTTATGCACATGCAGATTTAGCACAAATATGGAAGAAAATTTTTTTCCTGCCCTGAGAACTGAACTGGCTGTAGATGGATGGGAATTCCGAGCGAAAATTTATATACATTACAGTAATTGTTATAGTTAATAGACCTGGCCGGGAGCAATTAGCCTTTCTTACGAACATCCGCCATTTTTTGGTGGCATCTAATTCTCGTTAACCAATGCAGACAACTGAAACAATGTGAAGAGCATTTTTTCAAAATAAACTAACCATTTTCAAAGCAAATTTATTCGTCCAAAAAATTATAAAAAGTCGCTGTGTGTTTGTGCTGTACCTCTATGTTTGTCAGGTCACTGACTCTATTTTACTTTTTTTATTTCTGATAGGATGGTACATTTGCAGTCCCTATAAAAGCCGTGCTGCCTAAAGCTGATTTGATCGTTCCAGAAAGTTTGACATTTGGAATGTGCGCTATAAAAGACACATGTGAATTGAGTTTTAAACTAAGCAACCCCAGGTCAGTTAGTACGGAACCAGAGTTAAAACGACTAGCATTGCGTAAAACCTATGAATTGTATTATTTATTATGTATTCATCTACAATTGAATGTATTCTTTCTATTCAGTGAGGTACATACTCCATTCAAATGGGTTATTCAAGAACCATTTTCATTAACTCCATCAAGTGGAAGTCTGGCTCCTAAAACGTCGTGTCTTATTAAAGCTACATTTTCACCTAAGGTTTGTACTAATGAAGTGTATTGGCAAAGAGAGTTGATGAGAGTTGAGAAGCGAGAGTTTGCATCAGAGTTTTTTCAGCTCGTATGCCCCAGTCAAACGAGAACAAGAGTTGCATGAGAGTTGATGAGAGTTGAGAAGCGAGAGTTTGCATCAGAGTTTTTTCAGCTCGTATGCCCCAGTCAAACGAGAACAAGAGTTGCATGAGAGTTGATGAGAGTTGAGAAGCGAGAGTTTGCATCAGAGTTTTTTCAACTCTTATGCCCTAGTCAAACGAGAACAAGAGTTGCATGAGAGTTGACTGGATATTACCGCGCGGGTAACGAAAACTCGCATCATAATTTGAACCAGTTCACAGTTCAGTGGTCATCTTCAGAAATATTGAAACTTAAAGGAGCACGAATATTAAACTCCTTCTCAATTCTATTTATTTGCCACTAAATCGGCTTTTAGCAAGGCTGTCAAAACTGGCCGTCCAAAAAATACCAAGGGTGTGGCAACCTATTTTCATATAATAGACGTGGTAAAAAAATCTGGCGCTTGAAATCAGTTGTGATATATGCCAATAATTGAGCGTCTTTTTGACAAAAAATTATATCGATTGGCGAAACGTATGCAATAGATACAGTAAAGTAGAAGGCAGCTGACAGCTTTTGAGGAATTCAAGAAATATCACAAAGTCTGTGAGTTGAGCAGGCACTCTTTAAAGAAAATATTTTCTCAGACCGTCCATGGCCGTCTGTTAAAACGTAGTTGCGGTCTAACAATAGCCTGCGAACAGGCTCTTTGAATTGAAAAATCTGAGAGTGGCCCTCCACTCCATAGACTCTAGTTGGAAATGCAAGACTACTACATAATTATAACCTGAAATTCGTTCTGTCAATTATTTGTTGTTATTTTATCTCACTGTTTAGGGTGGTTTTGTGTACAATGCAACTGCTGTTTGCTATTTTGGAGATCTTACAGAACCTATGGAAAAATCTATAAAACTGGATGGAATAGGTGGGTGTCACTAAGAACTATTTAATTCGTAACGCAGATGATGGTTAGCCTGCGTCGCATACTTCAAAACACATGTTTTATCATAAAAAATGCGTTTTGAAGTATGCGACGCTGGCTAATGATGGTCAACCTGCAGTCATCAAGGCTCATTTCCACTCAAGAAAAATTTTCACGGACAGAAAATTTTCCGAAAATATCATTGAAAATTTATTGTTGAAAATTTTTTTCCGACGGAAAATTTGTGTTCACATTCACATTTTACAAAATTTTCTTTCTGCGGAAAATAGTTACCTGCAAGGGCGGATTTTCATTTTTTTTAAAGGAGGGGTAGAAAAATTTCTGGTGGGGTGCAATTTTTTCTGGTTAGGCGTTAAGGTTAAAGACTTCCACACAAAATAGGAGGGTGAAGCAAAATTTTGGTGAGGTTGAACACTTTATAAGAGGGTTAGAGAGATTCTAGGAGGGGTTTAACCCCCCCCCCCCCTCCCAGTAAATCCTCCCATGTTTTCCTGAGAGGAAATGGGCCTTGATAGAGTGAGAAAATAAATTAAATAATTGTTAATTCCTTCCATTATAGGTAATAGTCTTATATTTGGAGGCGAAAAATTGAATTAACAGATATAACATCATTTGTTCAAAATTGTCCCTATCAATGATTGTACAAAAATCGGATAATGCTATTCACAGATAGTAAATTTTTCAATCTTTCTATTTAATATTGTCCGTTGATTGGGATAACCCAGACTAAACATCAGTGTTTGCAGATTAAAATTTCTTTTCATTGAGGTTCACATCCGTATTTTTTAGCTTTTTAATCATTTATCCAGCGCTACAACCCACCCCTGAATTTGACCACTTTGCCACACCGTAATACTGACCGAAACAATGACCTCGTTATCATCATTCGCTATTCTGACACGATGTCTTTCTGTAGGTAAATACCCGCACATAATGGTGAAACATTCGTCAAACAGTGACGAAAGTTGTACATCAAGTCCGGGTGAAACTCTGGTACAGTTTGGCACGGTAGCAGCGGGTTTCACTGCGGACAAGACCATACATCTTCATAATTTGTCCCCTGTGAACGCTTCCTTTCAAGTTCTTCAGCCATCATCTATATCGAATCTTGAGAAAGTGTTTAGCTGTTCACAGTATCATGGAATTATTGCCCCGCAAAGCACGGCTAAAATAAAGGTACGATTGACCTCAGGGCTTGAATTTTATCGCGGCAATTGCCGTAGAGGGAGAACAAAATGCAGTGGATCATTGCGGCAACGACGGCAATTTTTTGCCGTATAGTGTACTTTTTATACTATTCACCGTGCATTAATTCACTATTTTGATACTTGAATTCAGATGTTGATCAAATCATGCGTAAACTACTATTTTAGTCTGAGTTTTCTTCGAAAAAAAACACTAAAGAAATATGTACAGTAAACATGTTTCTAGCTTGTCAGCAATCCAAATAACAATAAAATTAATTTATTACAGTAATTTGAAAAATTGCCGTGGAAACTGCCAAAATTGCCGTAGACAGCTGTTATGTTCTAGGACAATTTTCAACGCCATTGCCGTCGATTGATTTCAGGGAAATTCGAGGCCTGATTGACTTCAATACCTCGGATTCGTGAATAACGCAGTCTCCTGGGGCCGGTTGTCTAAAACTCTTAATCACTTTTTTAATCACTATTTTGTAGTTAAATAGTGATTAACTCTCAAATACGCGCCTCTTATTGGATGACGTTTCCACTAACTATATGTATGTATGTATGTATGTATGTATGTATGTATGTATGTATGTATGTATGTATGTATGTATGTATGTATGTATGTATGTATGTATGTATGTATGTATGTATGTATGTATGTATGTATGTATGTATGTATGTAAAACTTTATTTCAATACGCTAACTTCGACAATTATTTACTAGCCTGCGAACAGGCTCTCAAGCTGAATTGAGAGCCTGCATCGATGACTAATGAATTTGAATATCTGCGTCTCAAATCGTGACGCGAAATTCTCATTGGTCAGATGCTATAATTTATATTATTCTGCTGAGCTCTATATATGTCAACTGCTAGCACTATGCATAAAAAACACATTAACTGATCAAATTGGTCGTGGCCATCTTATCTCAAAGCACGAAACGTTCTGTGTTGAGAAAACAGTATTTAAAACATGTAAACTTTTGCTTCAATATCTTATATTTCGAAAAACAGTATAAACTGTACGGTCTAAATTTAGTTTGCATGGTCTAAATTTAGTTTGCACGAAAGTTGTAAACAACACCATATAAGGATAGACATTCCATATTTGGAAAAACGAACGTTACGGGGCAGATATTCAAATTCATTAGTCATCGATGCAGGCTCTCAATTCAGCTTGAGAGCCTGTTCGCAGGCTAATTATTTACAACTGATTTCCACGAAGGGCGTATACACACAAAGAGCTAAATGTTAATTATATATAGAACAAAATATGTAAGAATCCCACCCTAAAATTTTATCATCTTCCTCCCTATAGTTAACTTTAATCACTTTTTTATACAACCGGCCCCTGATCTTAATTTCATCTCAATCGCATGTGAGAAGAGTGCTTCCTCTGACTCTACAGGGCCGTTTAAACTTGCAAGTTTTGTTGCGATTTTCCTCTTCTGATGGTCGTGAACGCGTTATGAATGTTCAGATGACACTCAGAACATTCATAACTCATTTACTCGATCACATACATTGGAAGAAGGAAATCGCACCGAATTTCGCAGTGTAAACGGGGCCAGTAGACCTTTTGCACGACGTCACAAGGCTTGATGCCCGCGAAGAATGCTGGTCTTAGTTGTCATCGCCCGGGAAAATTAAACAATTCAAAATAGCCACTATCAAAATTTTCTCGGGCGATGACTATACTAAGACCAGCATTCCTCGCGGGCATCAAGCCTTGTGACGTCATTATGCATAAGGTCTATTGGTTAATCAGACTATATCTGCCCATGTATCTATGTAGTTAACCCATTAAGTTGCGACCTAATACGCCCTACTTTATTATTTTCTTCTGTCTGATGCCAGATGATTTTACTTGTCAAAGGGAGACCGCTGGCACTCTCAATCACTGTTAGCACGGCAAAAAACGCCGAGCCCGCTGCTCAACAGGATTGAACAATGTTTTGCTGCCCACGTTGTTCACACTTGTCAACAATATTGAACAATGTTGTTGAGCCTGAATCGGGTGTAACAATATTGTTCAATATTGTTGACAGCTATGAACAATGTGGGCAGCAAAACATTGTTCAATCCTGTTTTCATCAGTATTGCATCAACCTGTGCGTTTTTACGCGTGTAGATCAGTGCTCTCAATGCATTAAACGTTTCTCTTGTGGTAGTACTAGATCACTAAGGGATAGCCATCACTGTAACATTAGGGAGAACAGTTTAGAACTCATGATAGGGCCTCTTACTCAGCATAAGCAAAGATGGTTTAGTCTAGTAATTGATAGTTGTACTATACAATCCCCAGGTACAATACGCTCCCTCGTATCCAGATGCTTCTCACGTGGATTATTTCGAAGTGAACGTTCTTGGTGCAACGACCTGTTCTGTTATCAAATGTGTGGGGAAGAGCAAAGGTATATATTGTTGAAACACCTCGTCTTATACACTATTGCGAAGATAAAACCAGTGTTTGCTTCCGTTCGCGTTCGGAACGCGTCCGGAAAACATTTGAACGCGTTGGTTAATTTGGTATGAAACTGCTTTCGTCTACATGACATTGAAAAAAAGTTAATAAAGATAAAATGTTATATAGGTCCGCGTGTAAAGTTTGATACTTCGTCTCTTGGGTTTGGTCAAGTGAAATCTGGTGGTACAATAACAAGAATATTAAATATCATAAACGACTCCGACGTGAACACTGCATTTCAAGTAAGTTTTATATGCTATGAGTTGTTCGTGCTGTGCCTTAGAAGGTCTGGGGTAGGGTATTACTCAGTTTAGCTGACTACCTTGATGTACCAATCTCGTACCCAGAGCAATGCCTGTGCGCGGGCTAGGATGGCGTTGACTCTGGGGAAATTGACAACCGGAACCCCTAAATTTAGGGGTTCTGGTTCTTTGTCGGCATGTACGATTGATAAACGTTAAACCAATCACAGCACAGGTTTCCCCAGAGCCAATGCCATCCTAGCCCGCGCACAGGCATTGCTCTGGGTACGAGATTGTTGATGTACTTGAAAGCTCGTATAAGCAGAACTGGATCTACCTGGAGGATCTTGCAAGAGGGGCCTGCAATTAATTTCCTTGTAAAATTTATTTTTTGGAAAGGCAATAGTCATTATTAGAAAAGCGAAAATAGGACAGAGACAAAATGCAAAAATAAGCCAGAGACTCTCAGCTGCAAGAAATATAAGTAGCTCGCCTTACCTTAGACCTTTATCAATTTCACGAAATACTAATAATTCTACATATAGTTCTCATAATTATTTCTGTATTTTCTTTCCCAGTTTCTTATCGATAAAGTGAACAGTGTGTTCACGTTCGAGACAACATTTGGGTATCTCCCTGCTGGAAGTAGTCAGGGTATCGTTGTAAGGTTTCATCCTGTCCTTGCTATCAACTACTACCGTAAAATCTCGTGTTTACTGCAGAACCATGTAAGTACTAGCTAAAGAACTGTATTTGTGACGCAATCATGGTTAGTACATTTTGCCATCTTAATAGACCTTATGCACAATGACGTCACAAGGCTTGATGCCCACGGGGAATGCTGGTCTGGCCATTTTGAATTGTTTAATTTTCCCGGGCGATGACTACTAAGACCAGCATTCCTCGCGGGCATCAAGCTTTGTGACGTCATTATGCATAAGGTCTATTGTTATAACAGTGACTGTGGATTTGATTTCTGCAATATACCATTGTCTAATTTCGTCTCAACCGAAGAGGAGTGCTTTCAGTTTGACTCTACCAAACGTAGTAGTAGCTTTTCCTCGAAAGAACTGATAGAGCTATCCAGTATAAATAAAGTTTACTTTAGGCTTCCTCCTGTATCTTAGCACTGGAGCAATATAGGCTAAGATACAACTGTAACTTGGACATGCAGAACAGTCAAAACTGATAGAGTTATCTAGTTCACCTGAGTACATAACACCAACACACACAAAAAGTATCAATATAAGTGAGTTTAGATTTCCTGCTGTACGAACACTGGATCAATAAGAGTTGGTCCCAGGGGCGAAACTTCGGTATTACGACTGGGGGGATGTGAGCTTGTTTTGCCAGTCCAAAAGGGCGTGGCCAAAGTCGTTCTAGACCCTATATCTATGTTCCCGATGGACGAACATTTCAGTCGCTAATTAATATTTCTTTTCCCAAAATTGTTAGGGGGGGGGTTAATTTTTTCCCTAAATTTGCCCGACGAAATTGTATGGATATACCCGACGAGATAGAGACCCCCCCGGTAGTTTCGCCCCTGGTTGGTCCTTACTGAACCTCAGTCAAAGGGAGAACTGTTTAGGGTTGACATAGCTGGTCAGTATACAGTAACAGAAAATAATGTTAGTTTAGAAAAAGACGATGTATACCATCTTTCACGCATTTTTCGTTTGCTGAACATTATTAGGCTCCACTTATGTTGGAAGTGTTTGGAACATGTCACACGGAATTAGTGCAGCCTGGTAAGTGTCACTCATTCTCACAGCTGCGGAAAATAAGTCTCTTCGTGGGAGCACAGCCTGGAGATAAGAATGTCCTGCAGATCAACTGAGTATATTATTGTGCTAAATCACTGCCTATAGACATAGTGACCGTGGTTATAGAATCAGGGAATGACATCTGTCAACCATATCAGGGCTGCAAATTACTGTCGGACATCAGACAATGTCCGACTAAATTTGGCAAATGTTCGAGCAAAAGTAATTTTGATCGGACATTGGTCCGATCAAAAAAATATATTGTCACATTATACATTTTTTTGCTTTGACAAAATCCGATTGCAAATTCACTCAATTTACATTTTGCAATAAAACTTACGAGGCATTCTAGCATTTTACTTAACGTTGCGCCGGAATGGCTATACTTGTCTCGTGATTTATATATACCTATATATATATCTTGTGCAACGCATATATGTCCGACCAAATTCAAGTTATGTCCGACGAAAATTAAAAGTGATCGGACAAATGTCCTGTCAAGTCAAATATTTATTTACAGCCCTGCATATATTTTTGTGCCCATAGTGGAACACACGTGTTAGGGTTTCCTTCAAATTTTCAAGTTGAAAATCTTCATTCTGACAAATTTCTTGACGATATTTAACATTTCCTGCGACCGCTTGTTTATTTTTCTATCCCTGTTCATTTGAGTTTTCATTTTATATGACGTGCTACGTGCACTAAACTAAATATTCAATTTTTAGCTGTCCTACAACAGAAGCATATTGCTCAATATAAACTTTTTGTAAAGCGAGGACTGTCAAGAACCCCGCCTGATGTGAGTAACTGAATCATATACTGTGTTGTATATACTACTTTTAACTGGCTTCGTAATTGAAAAATGCCTATCTCGTTCCTAGCAACTGAATGAGATGTTAAACGAAGGAAAGTTAAACGTTGATGAAAATGGCATCTACAGTAACCCAGTAAGTCATCACTTTTAAAGTGCTTCTAATCCCGCGAATATGATTTTGGTGTGTGTAATAATTTGGTCATTCCGAGAAAAAATGTAATATTTCTTTGTAGTAGAAACCTCATCATGATAAACTTTTTAACTGTCAGAGTTATCAGATATGATGTCATTAGATAATTTTTGGCACTAAACAACTAATGTCACTTAATTTGTAATTCATCAATATGACAACATTATGATGAGGTTTTTTGCTATAAAGATATATTTATTTATATATATTTCTTCTCAGAATGACCCTTTTTGTCACTTTGTCACAAATTTTAGTGCCATTTTAAACTTCAATTCTTTCTCTTCTATATGAAGAAATGGAAATACTACACATATTGAGAGATGATTGCAGCAAAAATTATCAGTTATTTAAATTTGTTTCACAATTTTATAGCTTATCACTGACCTGGAAAAATCCGAGGAAGATTTATCATGTGAGGAACAGTTCTTTGACGATACAAGCATTGGCGAAGCGGTAAGCTAGAGAGAGCGTAGTTTATAGAAAATCCGTACTTATCTTTTCATTGTTATATCTTCCTGTATATTATATAGGCGATCGTACAACCACATATCAGTGTGGACCACTCGCAGTTAAATTTTGGTAAATGTACTAATATTCCTTGTGTGGAACAAAAGGTAAGGCCATTATGGAAGATTTAGATTTGGAAAGTTAATCTGGAAATTATCACCTTTGTATGTGTAATTATGATTTCTAAAGAAATGTTATGATTAGTATCAACTTTATTTCATAGACTGTGAATATCACAAATCATACAAAAGGCAAAGTAACGTGCAACTGGCTCAAAGGTACAATATTAACATTGGAAAACAGTGAGCTCTATATAATATATATCTGGAGCAAGAAATAGGCAATTCCAGCTTTTAGTTTATGCCTGCAGGGGATGATGGGAAGTAAGGTATCATATTGCTGATTATGCTGAAAAATTTCAATAAAAACTACCGAAACAACCTAAATATTTCAGTATTTACAAGTATAAGCTCACTCCGTGTTTACACGGCCACCATTTTTATTGTTTCAGCATAATCCAATGCGATACCTTACTTCCCATCGTCCCCTGCACGCATAAACTAAAAGCTGGAATTGCCTATTCAGTCATTCGGCCTATAAGAAAAATGAAGCCAAGATGGCGACCATTGACGTCCAATAGCTCTAAAGGTCGTAAACAGTTTTTGTACCATTTATCCCAACTAATTCCAGCTTTTCTAACGACCGTATCGCTAATTAGCCATGTCCCAATCGAGCAGAGGACTGGGTCTAGTCGCTTGTTTGGAGGGACACAAAATAAACAATATGCCGAATATGGCATCTAGGAAGTTTTCCTACATTCCTAAAGTTTTGGAGTCTGATTTGTGCAGCCTGAAACGCAACAAAGGCATCTTTTAATATATATTTAGCTCGTTCACTATAACTTCTTGTCCCTCCAAACATCCCTCCAAACATCCCTCCAAACGTCCCTCCAACTAGACCCAGTCCTCTGCTCGATTGGGAAATGGCTAATTAAGTTATCAGTTCGTAAAGCCTTACTATATTATTCTTTAAATCGATGTCAAAATACGAAATTTCAGCACACTCTTTGCAGACCGCGCAGACAAAAATAATACAGGGTTCGTAGCGGTCTTTGAAATCCTTGAAAGTCTTTAAATTTGAATGCAGGTCTTTAAGGTCTTTGAAAAGTTTTTGAAGTATGTGAAAAAGCGAAGAAAGTCTTTAAAAGTCTTTAAATTCTTTAGTGATTATTTGATTATACGATTTCCTAGCTAATAAAATAGATTGATTGAAGCAAGATTTTCGCAAATATCGACGAAAAAGTGCATTTTAGGATGTGATTTGACGGGACTAATTACCTGGTAAAAATGGTGCTTATACATCGCAATTTTTCGACACCTGATTGCCCTCAAAGGTCTTTGAAAAGTCTTTGAAAATAGGCAGAAAAAATCTTTGAAAGTCTTTGAAATTTTTTGGTCTTGGAGACTACGAACCCTGTAATAGAAAGGGGGACTGAGACTGACGTCCAATTAATAGCTCCATCATTGATTTCACTTTTTGGACTCGAATTCTCACTCCAGATATATATGGAGCTCGCTGGTCATTGTTTTAAATTAATCTATCGTATATATTAAGTACAGATATAATACATTCTATACCCATTTTTTAGATATGACAGGAGTGTTCGAAATTTCACCTGAAAGTGTTGACATTCTTCCTCTAAAAACTGCTTCATTTATCTTAACATTTAAGCCCGTAAGTTAAAATTCCTATTTTAAATTGTCTTACTATCTATACAGCGTTTTATACTACTAAATTTATCAAATTGACATCAAAGGGCTTATGGATTGAAACATAGTCTTTCGAAACATGGTTTGGAAACTCCGCTAAAGTCTTTGTTCTATCTTTTTGTTCGCGTTTTTGCAGTTTTGTGCACGGTGCACGGTCAATGAACACATTGTATTTCAGTATAATGAACGAATCATCCAATAGCAACGTTTCAGTTTAGTCATTCAACCATGCTATTTAAATATTAATAAACCTAAAACAAAGGATGTGCACGGTGTGAGGTACGGCTCAACATAAACTCCCAGCTCATTATAACCGCTTTGAAGTTTACTGAGTTTCCAGACCATGCTGTCTTAAATTTTGACTATGATTGAAATTTTGACTATGATTGCATTGTGAGGTAAATTCAAAATGGCCGCATAAAATACTTTGCCAAACTGTCTTAGCTTGCTTCGTTCTAGAGATATTTAAAACATTTTGATCAGCAAATTATCCTCGCTATGACGTCACATTGCATAATGACTCTCTGAAAAAAACATCGAGATCTTGGAATATCGTGCATCGAAATCATAAAACCGTGCATATGTGTTAGGTACTACAACCATATGTTGTATGTCGACAGATTTGAACCATTTATCTATAAGAGTTATAAAAGTTTTTTTTCTGAAACCATTATGCAATTTGAAGTCATATAGGAGGGTAATTTGCTTATCAAACATTGTTAAATATCTCAAGACAGAAAGAAAGAAGCCAACATCGTTTGGCAAAGTATGTTTTTCTTTCATTATTCTAATAATTTTGTCAATTCTTTATTAAAGGATCGAGAAAATCAGTTTTATGGATGTGAGATCGAGTGTTTTGTCTCGTACAAGGTACATTGAATAGCTGCTCTCCGTTTCCTAAATGGCACTACACACGTAAAAACGCACAAGTTGTTACAAGTCTGCAAACAAGTTGTTACAAATCTGTTCACAAGCTGTCGACAAGTTGTGTTCGCACTGCTTGTTCCCAGTTGTTGGAACAAGATTGGAACAAGCTGTTAACAACTTGTAACAAGCTTGATGGCATTGTCACAAGATTATTCTAGCAAGTCTGAAACAGTCATGGTATAACAAGAATGTTACAAGGTTGACGACACAAGGTTGTAACAATATTGTTATATCATGACTGTATCAAACTTGTTGGAACAACCTTGCAACAAATCTGATAATATCAACAAGGTTGTTACAAGTTGTTTACAGCTTGTTCCAAACTTGTTGACAACTTGGGACAAGCAGTGCGAACACAACTTGTTGACGGCTTGTTGGCAGACTTATGATGATGTGAGATTTTTGCCTGTGTACTGTACAACAATTTCTCATTGAGTGTCTGTTTTTATGTAGTGTGCGCGTGATTACAGACTCGTGGAAGATAAAACATTGTCTCCACCTTGGTGTGTTACAGTATATTGTTCGGGTATGTATGCATATATGAGAAGTTCAGATTTGACTACACTACGTCGGAACAATTTACAATTTACGTGTGTTCATTGCACTCATGTAAACCCAAAATATTTCAAATAGAACGAAGACATTTAAACGAAAATAATTTGAATTTATTGTTTTGAGACACTGGAAAAAAATTTGAAAATCCATAGAAGGTCATAGAATGGAAATTGTATGGACCTTCATTGGAAATAGAATGGATTTTGGTTATCCATAATAATTGTATATTTCCATAGATGTAGTTTGGATATACCACAGGATATACTTTGGATTTAGTGTTGCAATTGCAAATTTCATAGTATGGATTTCACATTTTCCCCAGTGAGACCCAAGATGCTTGGTTTTGCAAGCGGTACAAACAAAGTAACGGCGTTTGCGTTCACACGAAGCCGCCAAGCACTCCTTTTTCATTTCACTCCGTTTAGAAACTGTGCTTAAATTGTTACGGCAAAAGTGGCGTTTTTAAAGAATAAACAAAATGGCTGGCGGTAAACCTCGTGCCATTCACCGGAGGTCCGGCAGCCCTGATATATCCGATTAACAAATCATCATTTCTCTTCGTGTTTTTCTGAAGATGTTGTGTAATGATTTAGTGGGTTGAAAATATGTTTCTGTCCTTTAGGTGAAACATTTTCACGTGACAGAGAATCATTCTTGCCACGTCTAGAATTTAGTGCGACTCAACTGGTAAGTCTTGTTAGTGGAAAGAAATACCTAAATCCATCGGTAGCCTAATCTACACACGTAAAAATCTCACATCTGGTAGCAAGTGCCAACAAACCGTCAACACGTTGTGTTCGCACTGCCTGTCCCAAGTTGGCAACAAGTTTGGAACTTGTAACAACTTGTAACAACCTTGTTGATACTATCAGACTTGTTGCAAGGTTGTTCTAACAAGTCTGATACAGTCATGATATAACAAGAACGTTGCAAGGTTGACGACACAAAGTTGTAACAATATTGTTATATCATGACTGTATCGGACTTGTTGGAACAATCTTGGAAGAAGTCTGATATTGTTCACAACTTGGGACAAGCAGTGCGAACACAACTTGTTGACGGCTTGTTGGCAGACTTGCTACAAGTTGTGAGATTTTTACGTGTGTGCCTCACTGGTACTCCATTGATTATTACTACATGCTTGAGTTGCTACAAACATAAAACTCAAGGAATATACTTAGCCTGTAAGATAAAATACAGGTACATACACAATGTACTTCCTAAAAAATTCTCACTGTTTTCTTAATGTAGGTGTTTCCTGCTGTCACTTTACAAAACACATCATATCGTACGTTGTGTATTGCAAACACACCTGCCAATCCTGTCAGATTCTCTTTTGATCGAGATCCTACAGGGTAAGTGGAATTTCTCGAATCCCCCCCCCCAGAAATGATTTGCAACCCCCCCCCCCAAAGGCATTTGGCACCTCCGCAAATTACATCTATTTTGATTTGATAGTTTCATATTTGATTATTCTTACTACTAAATTTGTAAATTACCAATATTATGGTCTCAGATCTCGCCATGCAGGCCTAGAAAACAAATTTTGTTAAACTTTTTTCTTGGCTTTTCCGGGCGTTGCCACCACGCCCCGGCCAAAGCAAGCAGCAGCACCCCCCAGATATTTATCCACCCCCCGAACGAAAATATGAAAATCCGTCTCTGCTAGATCTGAAGTCCGCACATTTTGATCAAATTATGCGGACTTGAAATCTAGTCCAGTCCTCATAGTTGGATTTGAAATTTTACTTCTAAATTCCTACTGTGATCACAGAAATTTTGATAGTGTAAAACACTAAAACCAGCCTTAACTGTCACTAAAATGTTAGTGTACAAAGCAGGAGCAACAACTTCTGAAGCCATGCACTGTTATTAAGAACCATCTAAGGTGCAGCGTTCATGTTGTTAGCATAGAAGATGACCGTCTACCAAAGCAGTTTTTTATTCAAAACTTAAGGATGTCATGCACCAGCGTGGGTTGGTGTTAAGTCCGATTGCCACTCAAGTAAAATTTCCACGGACAGAAAATGTTCCGAAAATGTCATTGTTAAATGTTCAAATTTTCAACTTTTTTACCGACGGAAAATTTGTGTCCCGGCCAATCATATTTTACAAAATTTTCTTTTTGCGGAAAATTTTCTGAGTGGAAATAGGCCTAGAGCCCTTAATATGGATTAGACCCTAACTGAGTCTTCCATGCACCGTAAGTGTGATCCGTGATTAGACATGAGTCACGAAATGCTACATATATACTACCAGATATAGTAAAACCTGTACCTATATATGCTACTTTATATATACTAGCAGAATAAATATCTCCTTTTATTTATTTTTTCAGAACATTTCGTTGCAAGCCATCCCAAGGCATTATAAAGGATAACATTCAGCTTGTTATGTTTCGTCATGAAGCAATGGACATGCAAACAAACAAGTTACCATTATGTTGCCATTTTAACAACGAAGACAAATTTAACCAGGTATGGCCATGTTTTGACATATGAAATTTCTCAAAGTAACACTAGGGAAACACAGACCTTTTGAAGGTTAACACTCCATCGCTCTCTAACCAGAAACCACACCAACTTTAATCCTATGAACGTTTGTCGTTTTAATCTCTTTGTTTGTTACTTAAATACCCTTCCAGCAATCCACATATATCCCTCCTCCCACCCTTCCAACATTCCACATTTCCACACATATCCCTCCTCCCACCCTTTCAGCAATCCACATATATCCCTCCTACCACCCTTCCAACATTCCGCATTTTCACATATATCCATCTTCCCCAAGCATTCCACATATCCCTCCTCCCCCAGCTTTCCACGCATATCCCTGGAGGCCCAACATTCCACATATATCCCTGAGGGCCCAGCATTCCACATATATCCCTCCTCCCACCCTCCCTTCCAGCACAGGAGAGATCAACTACAATTCACATGAAACACAAGTCCAAGCTCTAACTGGGCTTAATATTTTTTCAGTGGTGCGTGCCAACGCGCATGTGCCACCCGCGCTTAAGACACAGGGCAACATTTTATGGGGAAAGCAAACCCCTTAGAAGAGTGAGTCACACCACCTCTCTGTTACTTTTTCAGGAGTTTATGTTGATTGGATCCACAGAATCGCCAAAGATACATCTTGAACACGAGGTCTGTATTTTCTCTCTATGACAAATAATTTCCTTGCTTTCAGAGGCATATCATTGTAAAGTAGTAGATTGCTCCTCTCTCTTTACAGTTACTGTACTTCAGACCAACATGTGTTGGAAATTCATCCAAACGTACTTTCAGAGTACAGAATAGATCCAGAATCCCAATCAGGTATGTCATATATAAAGCATGGTGGTCAAGTTAATCAGATACAGGTCAGATGCGAATACTTTGTATTACTTAAAGGGTATGGGCAATGAAATTCAAGTTTGTTTATACAAAAAGAACTCGTTAAACTGTAAAATAAGTTTAATATACAGGGTGTGTAAAAAAAACTGAACAGATTTGAAATTGCCCTCAATTTCGCAAAACACCTATTTGTATCCAGTTTTTTATATATATAGCTTCTTTGGGTACTTTATAATGTAGAATAATGAAAAAAATTTCTCGAACTTAAATTTTGTGAACCAGGGGGGGTGTCTTTTCCAACAAATTAAAAATGGCTCGCGCTCAAAATTTAAAAGTTGTAATCATATTTTGAGTTAATAGATGGAAAACTTGTCGGGTTTTTAATTACTGTACAAAATTTCAAACAATTTGGTTTAGTTTAAGCCCTTTAACTATTCACGCAAAGTTACATTTTTCCTAAAAATCAGCTATTTGCATGCTTAATTAATGCCTTTGCCTAATTTACATATGTCAGCAATATGCAAATTAGGTAAAGGCATTAATTAAGCATGCGAAAGGCTAATTTTTTAGAATAAATGAATAGTTAAAGGACTTAAACTAAAGCAAATTGTCTGAAATTTTGTACAGTAATTAAAAACCCAACAAAGTTTCCATCTATTAACTCAAAATATGATTACAACGTTTAAATTTTGTGCGCGAGCCATTTTTAGTTGGTGGGCCCCCCCTGGTTCACAAAATTTCAGTTCGAGACATTTTTTTCATTATTCTACATTATAAGTACCCAAAGAAGCTATATATATATATATATATAAACCGGATACAAATAGGTGTTTTGCGAAATTGAGAGAAATTTCAGCTTTTTTTATACACCCTGTATATATTTAATAGTTCTTTTAAATGAGACAAACTAATTTTTTATTGCCAATGTCCTTTAAACACAGCCAGCTGTTCCTAAACAAGTAGTACAAAACACTAAATGAGAACCAACTGAAATTACTTTATTTGTCCAGTTTTGAGTGGAAGATGCGTCAACAAGATTCTAGAATTGTAGAAATAGAACCACGTCAGGGCTCCATACATCCTGGGGAAAATCAGGTCAGATTGTATTTCGTTGTTTCTTTGTCGTTTTGTTTAATTTTTGCGGGTGTGTTCTTCTTGTTCTCGCTTTAATAAATGTGTCAATAGCAGTATGTGTTTTTCTTTTGTAGTTATTTACATGGTGGTTTTGTCCTGAAGAAGAGAAAAAATATCTCATCAAGTGTAAATTATTTGTAAAAGTTGGTGAAGGTGTTGCAGAAGCGAAAAAGTACGTAAAGCCTAAATTAACAAGCCTGTTCGCCCAGGTTCATATTTCCATGGCCTTGCCATGTTCTTACCGTGTTCTTGCCATGATCTTTCCACGTTCTTCCTATGTTCTTGTCATGATCTTTCCATGTTCTCGCCAAGATCTTGCCACGATCTTCCCATGTTCTTGTCAAGATCTTTCCATGTTCTTGTCATGATCTTGTCATGATCTTCCCATGTTCTTCCCATGGTTTTCCCATGTTCTTGTCATGATCTTCCCATGTTCTTGTCATGATCTTGTCATGATCTTCCCATGTTCTTGTCATGATCTTTCCATGTTCTTGCCATGATCTTGTCATGATCTTCCCATGTTCTTGCCATGGTTTTCCCATGTTCTTGTCATGATCTTCCCATGTTCTTGCCATGATCTTGTCATGATCTTCCCATGTTCTTGCCAAGATCTTTCCATGTTCTTGCCATGATCTTGTCATGATCTTCCCATGTTCTTGCCATGGTTTTCCCATGTTCTTGCCATCATCTTGTCATCATCTTTCCATGCTCTTGCCATGATCTTCCCATGTTCTTGTCAAGATCTTTCCATGTTCTTGTCATGATCTTGTCATGATCTTCCCATGTTCTTGCCATGGTTTTCCCATGTTCCTGTCATGATCTTCCCATGTTCTTGCCATGATCTTGTCATGATCTTCCCATGTTCTTGTCATGATCTTTCCATGTTCTTGCCATGGTCTTGTCATGATCTTCCCATGTTCTTGCCAAGATCTTTCCATGTTCTTGCCATGGTCTTGTCATGATCTTCCCATGTTCTTGCCAAGATCTTTCCATGTTCTTGCCATGATCTTGTCATGATCTTCCTATGTTCTTGCCATGGTTTTCCCATGTTCTTGCCATGTTCTTGCCAAGATCTTTCCATGTTCTTGCCATCATCTTTCCATGCTCTTGCCATGATATTCCCATGTTCTTGCCATCATCTTTTCATGATCTTGTCATGATCTTCCCATGTTATTGCTATAATCGCTCCACGATCTTCCCACGATTGTACACAAGAGATTGCCATGTTCGTACTCAGATCTTGCCATAATCTTACCAAGACCTAGACACTCGCGACTTTCTCACTTGAACGATCGGTGCCAGTGTAGATAATAGTATAGATTCCGATTTGACTTCCACTACCGCTACCATTAAGGAACCATTGACCAATCAGATGCGTTTGATACATCTGATTAACCAATCAGATGCGTTTGATACATCTGATTAACCAATCAGATAAGTGGAAGTCAAATTTGAACCTCTCTAGCGACGATAACGAGACAGCTGCGGTTTGAAAGATATACAACTACCTGAAGTTCTGCTTATATTTTTCATGCAGTTGTATCCCTCTTGATCCGCACCTGTCCTCTTTCTCTCTTGTATCCTCGCATGATCCCTCACTTCAGCTTGAAACGTGCAATTTCATTGCGTTCAACTCCTGTTTAGCGTCACACCAAGTCAACCGTACTTACTCCGCGCTGTTGGAGCAGGAATACACGGAACTATAATTGTAAGTATAGCCCTGGGCCGCCCTTCGTGCAACTGGCCCCTGATCAAATGAGGATGAGAGTGGACCTATTCCCCAATGAACAAAATTTTGATCTAGACAAGTCTAGACAACACTATCACAGCTTGAAAGAGCATCACAAAATTAATAATATTCCGAAGTTTTGTTGCGAAATGTTATAAAATGCGGATAATATAGCCCTGCGAAGTTTGCCGTTTTTTCAGTCATTTTGTATTACGCGCGGGAAACTGATACCTTTTTTCAGAGAGCGGTATCAATTTTCCATGCGTAATACAAAATGACTCTCTCAACGACCTCTCGACCTCTCTCAAAGACCTCTCAACTTTGCAGAGAAGTTAAGAGTGAGATTGGGGATGTGGATCAGTGGATGACACCTTTGTAAAAGTCCGGGGGTCTGAAATGGCATTTCGTACATTATGAGAGTTGGTGTTTTTTTAAGACTTTTAATGAAATACGTGATTGCTTCATAGTTACAATAACTGTATTTCTGTGACATACAGTTTACAATAACTGTATTTCTGTGACATACAGTAATGAGCTTTAATTTGCCTTTGATAATTTACATATAGAATTCTGCTCCGACTGATTCTGCCTTTTGTCCGCCATATTTACCTATGCGTACTATTTTGTATCCAAATTGCGGGCAAAAGCCAAAATGTCGGGCCGTATATGCAGGAACAATAACACGCGATTGTATATTCGATTCGCGATCCGTATAATGATTAATAATGTGCATTTAAGAATACAATATTATATTTATTTATTGAAAAAAATACTATAAAACTGCTATATGCGTGAGATTTACTAAACGTGGCGTGAGAGTGAAGCAAATTGCGTGAGACTCACGCCGAATGCGTGAGAGTTGAGAGGTCTGCGGCATTAGTGATAGCAAATTGCAATTGCAATTAGAAATTGGATTTCCTACTATTTGCAACGGAGATTCATACTATATTTCCATAGACATAGTTAGGATTTTGAAAAAAATTTCCAGTGTCAACTGTAAAAATGATAAAATCTCCCCATGAGTGGCAGAAGTAATATGAGGACTGTACTAGATTTCAAGTCCGCTCAATTTGATGCTGAGGCAAAGCCGAGGACTGGATCAAAATGCAAGAACTTGAAATCTACTCCAGTCCGAATTGGAAGATTTGAAATGACATCTCATGCGAGTAAATCATTATTTCATTAATTTTGATCCAGTCCAAGGACTGAATTAATTTTGATCCAGTCCAAGGACCGAATTATTTTGATCCAGTCCTAGGACTGAATCAATTTTCTTCATCAGGTATCCAGTATTAACATGTGAGCAAAATAAAGCAATATGGTTGGCTAATTTACTTTTGAATTATTAATTATGAATTAGAGATTTTGTCTTCAATACCATTGACATTTAATATATCGTTTAGAATATCATGTTTTGTCTGTAAATCATACTACAAGCTACAATCAAGTTTTCTCCTTTTGTACTGTTCAATAACATTGCTTCAGTAACATCTTTAAAAATATTTTTACGTATATTTTACGCACACTATAATAGAACCATTGCACATGACGTCACTGCGCAGGTGATGATGCATCTGGAAGAAAATTAGCAATCTATGCATAATATAACTTTTGTAAACAAAGCAAATTTTGCAAAACTTTATAATAATTTTGTATTAAAATGGTTAATTTTTGCGCTGTATGTGGTTATTGTACCCGAACAGATATTGTTAGGGAGCATCTGAAGGACACTCTAAGGATTTGTGACGTCAGTGCAATGGGTCTATTATGAACGTAGCAACACACTTTAGCTTTAATCATCTATACCGTTACCGTCATCGTTATTTTCTTGGTATATTTCACAGAACAGCCTCAGGTATATTGGATTACTTAATTCTAGTAACTTTAGCAAAAACAATAAATCTCGCGATTCTATGTTCAAATTATGTACTCTTTCGAAATTAGGTTTTAATGGCCATATTATGCATGATATTACTGATGCTAGTTTAAAAAAGCTGCAAATCATTTTGAAGCAAATAACGAACAAAAAGGCTACTGCGCTGGAAAAATAAAATTTGACGATTGAATATGAGCAGACGAAGTGATCGTAGACCAAACCGGGAATTTTTATTTCAGCAATGTTGCATTCGTATTGTCTGTTCATCTTTTTTTCGATTATTAACCATACCAAAACGCCGAATATTACAACAGCGACCACTGTTTGAAAAACAGACATTATAATATACATATTATTTACGCCCAAGAAATTTATGCAATTTTCATTTTTCTCAAACTGCTTCACATATTTCTCCAATTTTGTTTTCACTCGATTTCCATCCTGTATAGGATCTCCCTTAGGAGTGATGTATCTTACGGGAGTGGCGTGATCTTGCGACGCAGCACAAGTTGTGCGTATTTCTAGAATACATTGTTCAGCAGTGGGCTCTGTATTTAATGTATAAGCTTGTTTGTAACATTGATGCAACATATCACTAAACTGCTCCAGTATTGGTGATTTTAAGATAAACCAAGAATTACTATAGACCACGCAATAACCAACCATGATCACTAACATATGTGGGAAAAATCTAACCGTCCAAAAAATATCATCAGTACATTCGGAGTTGATATAATCAAACATGTTTCCATTGGTAAACTGAACAGCAAAGTCTAATGAATTTCCTCCGCTTTGCGATGAGTTGTGAATCATAGCACAAGCTGCCATCTTGTCTGATGAAGAGTTCAGTGCCGGGCAGCGTAGGACGGGTATACACACAGGACCAGGTGCATAGAGACCAACCACGCCAGTAACAACAGCGATCATAACCAATACAAGAATAAAATAATCGATAAATACATCCCACCAAGGTTTAAGGAACTTCTCAGCCTCGTACTGAACGTGTAATTTCAGAAGATCTCCTAACGCCAGCATCGTCTGTTCAATGAAAAGTGTACCATACCATTACACCTACTATTGTATACTATATACCATGCCATTCACATACCGATTACTTCTCAACATGTGAACTGGAACGACTACTATGTTTGCTGGGATTCAGGCTTTTCGGATTCGACGAGCTCGTTTATCTTTACTGTCGTTCCAATTGAAGTGTTGCTAAAAATATTGATTCAATACATTACCTCGGACTTAAACAATTCATTTCATCAAGTTCCTCGAGATATTCATTCTGTGAAAGAGCCAATTCCAAGTATTTGATCATTTCTGGTCACTTCCTTTCTATTTATGATTGGTTAGTTGCACAAACAACAAAGGTGATTGATGCATTCAAACTATTCAACAGGACGTTTACAATTATACTAGGAAGTGTATGAATATCTCGAGGAACTTGATGAAATGAATTGGTCAGCCCGAGGTAATGTATTGAATCAATATTTGAGCAACACTTCAATTGGAACGACAGTAAAGAATGTTCGCACTATAACTATACGTGTATGCGCGTTATGTATATAATTATAAAATATATAATTATCCGCATTTTTTACAAAACCCACATATTTAGTCAGCGACTTCCCTTTCCTTTCGATTTTGTGTTCACTTCCGTCTCCTGACTCTACTTTCGATTTATTTTGTGCGTTTCCTTTCGACACATCTTATTTTGTGCTTTCGATTTATGTTTGTGCGAGTTCGAATTATTTTTGTGCGAGTTCAATTTATTTTTGTACTGTTCAATTTTATTTTGAGAGTTACAACATATTGCCATATTGTAACTAATTTTGACCGGAGCGGAACACCATATATGAAACGAAGACGCGCTACAGACGTTTTAATATCCGTCTGGCCATGACGGATACATGCATACATATCTAAAAAATTATTTAAACACGTCGCCCTATTAAAATCTTTCGATGATTTCCACAGGGGACGTGTAAGAAATGAGACTATAAATACATATACATATACGACGCCAAATTTAAAACGTCTTGTACGAATTCAATTCATTAGTCGAATTTAATTCGTTTCATACGATGCACTATCGTCGCATTTAGGCTGTGTGCACACAATTAAATTCGACGATAATGCGACGTATGAAATAGGCCGTATTTATTTTGGACATTTCTTTTCGAGAAAGAGTTTTATGCAGAATAAATGCATAAAACATGACTATAGCAAAAACCCCTTGAAATGTACTCGCTTAAAACATCGTTCTTGGCCTTTGGTTTGAAGAATTTGACTAAGAAAAAACATAAATATACATACCTTGATCTGGCTTGAACGCGAAAGTTTTCTTTGAGCTGTTGCACTGTTGGAGTTTATACCAGGAATTCAATATTGACGACCGTTCGCTTGTTCTATACATCTCCAATTCTTGGAATTCAACTGTCGGAAATCAGCTAAAAATTCACAGAACTTCCATTCTTAACATCCGTCACGAGGACAGCATAACAGTTGAACTTCCACGAAAAGTCAGCATATATAAAGACCATTAATTCCACCCAAGAAATCACAAGACAAAGAAAAATTCCGCTCGGCACGCAAAATTCCGCGGCTTATTAAGGTTACATTATTATATGATGAAAACACTGATTTCATCATTTTTTACATTTTTATTGATTCATATTCAGGGGCTGGAAATCTCTCGTTTGCCGCAAGTTTTTTTCAACAATATTAAAATGCGTCCGAAATATAACAAAAAATGTTATAACCACTTATTCTTTTGCCGCGAAAGTGGTAATTGTAAATGACAATATGTGGCTTGATGTGATACTTGATACCGGATGTGTGACCTTCAACCTCGCTCGTGTCTTCGGGCCCCTCTTCGTGGTGCAAGACAGATCCTGATCCTCACTGCATTTTCGTTTGGCCAATTTAGATCGGTCTGTATAGCTATCCCCTTTTTACATTTGCGTTTCGCCGGCATATTAGCAAGTTTTTTTGTGTGGTTTCTCGCATGTACTGTACGGTTTGTGATAAACTGATAATGAGTGAATGACACCTAAAACCCTTGCCAAAACACACTTTACTAATTTTAATCCGATTACAGTTCGAGGTGATAACAGAGAGCGGAAAAACCCCGCCAAATCTAATATCGTCTTTTGCGGAGATTGAAATATTCTCAGATTGTCCCCACAAAAATTGTTTAGAAACGCGCACGTTTTATCCGAATCTCTCCAAAGTTTGCCACAATGTTGAACAATAGTACAGCAGCAAAAGTTTTTTATTTAGTGCCATACTTTTCAAGTTATAGGCATCTATTCTGCCGTTCTCCCAAAATTTAGATGAGTCAACTTCTCTGCTTTATATCAAAGCAAATATAATACCTGTCAAAAAACGCGAACACGGTTTTGTTCTTTGATCATTTGAGATGGGAAATATTATGTTTCGGAAGCCTGTGAGGTAAATCAGAAGCGTTCTAATCTCCTGGCGCAAAGGCCGTCATATTTCCAAAAGCAACCCGTAGCAAGTACAGTTTTAAAGGTGTAGAATTTTTGGCAAATCTTTAGCTACAGCAATGATTTACCATTATGCATGCAAAATTTGAAGGGGAAAACTTGAAAATTGAGCGCGCGGTGAGCATTTTGGTGAAATGGGTTTCCATCATGTGGAGTAACCTTAAAGTGCCTTCGCGTGAATTTTAAACTTTGTTGTTATTTTCTAAAATAACACTCGCCTTTCGCTTGCTTTTCTTAACTCTCGCAACATTCCCGCGTGTTTGGATCAGGCCATCTAAAGTCTAAACATGGAAACCGTATATTCTTATTTTCCAGTGTGCTGACGAGTCAATAGATTGTGAGAATGTGGTCGTTGGTACATGTGTGACGAAGAAGATAACTCTGTGTAATCCTACTGATTGTGATGTCCCATATCGTCTTTTGCTATCTCAGGAAGACTCTGAGGAGGATGATGACAAGCTGGTTATCAGTAAGTATCCCCTGAGCGCGCACTGATCGTAATGCAGGATGCGACCATCGACCAAGGCAGGGCTCCATCATCACTTTGAAGACCCGACAAAAAGGCTACAAAATACTGTGTCAAGCGGCCGAACTTGTCAGAAAATTTTGAAAAATAAAGTTGCTCAGATGGTCATATACAGAAGCTTCCAAAGACCCAATATGTAATTTTTGTTTGATAATTGCCCTGCCAAATCCAAAATTTGGATTTTTTAAGGAAAATTGGCACCCTTTCTTTATCCCTTTGACTAAGGCTAAGGGTGAAACCAACCCCCCCCCCCCCCTTGCTGGACCTTCAGGGAGAACAGTTTAAAACTGATGGAGCTAGCCGGTATATAAATATAGTTAGTGTATATTAGGTTTCTCACTGTAGTAACACTGGATCAATAAGAGATGCCTTTGCTGATCACCTCTAGGGAGAACATTGTAGAACTGATAGAGCCATCCAGTACAAGGACAGTTTTAAACTATGTCATGTTTTTCTTACCAGGTGTTGACGAAATTGGTCGTGATGTCTTACCAGCGAGAACAAACAAGTCCATTCACGTGAAAGCTCGTCCACGAAGGAGAACAACATACAAGACAAACATTAACTACCAAGTAATCGCTCTACAAGGTAATACAGTAGTTAAACGTGACGTTTCATTGTAGGCAGTATTCTACAATAATTTGTCATGGTTTGTATCTGAACTACCTAAAATTATATTTCAAACGTGGTCGTGCAGTGTAGGTAGTATTCTACAATGAGCTGCCATTGTTTCTGTCTGAACTACCTGAAAAAGATATCTCACACTTGGGGCTCGAATGTAGGTACTGTAGTATTCTACAATAAGCTGTTGTGGTTTCTGTTTGAACAACCTGGGAAAGATATCTTAAACATGGTTGTTCAGTAGTATTGATTGTGTATTGCACAATAAGCTGGCGTGATTTGTGTCTGAAGTACTCGAACAAAACTATCTTCAACGTGAGGGGTCTAGTGTATAGGTGGTATTCTACAATAAACAGTCGTAGAGAATAAATTCTGAATGCTATCTACATTGTACCCCAACGGAGTGATCAATGTTTAAATAAAACTGTTAAGCAGTGCTGTGAGTAACTTCGTTACAAGTAACTAGTTACATGTAATCGTTACTTTTTTGAGTAACTGTAACGGTAACTAGTTACTTTTTTCAGAACGTAACTTGTAACTGTAACTAGTTACAAAAATTAGGAATAAAACGTAACGATAACTAGTTACATTTGCCGTCAAGAACGCCGTTACATTTTGTGTGCTTGAATCATCACAATTCACACGGCGCTACCTCGGCGGCGCTACAGTGCATTCTGGATTATTTACAGTACTGTGCAAATGCGATGTTAATAGCATGCATACACGTGCTTTTATCCATTCATTCGTTGACGTGTGTGGTTACACTCATAGTGGGATTAGTAGCGCATTAAGATGTCTTCGGCACAACCAGTATCTGAATCGAATCCATGGCCGCACTTGGAAACAATGTTCCAGTTCAAATCTGTAGCGGGAAAAACCGTGAAGCTAACTTGTTTACTGTGTTCACCGAAAGTTAAAGAGTGCTCTGCGAGCCTGTCATCATTGTCGAATTTGCGTAAACATGTTCAGGTTGGTTGGTCTACTTGGTTGCTAAATAATATTGTATTAATGCTTGCATCAGGGATAAATAATCATGCATCAGTATTATCATATATGTATGTTTATATTTGTATCTATCAGTGATGTTGATATTTATCATGGTCAATACGTCGATATTCGATACGACGATAATCACTTGACCAAGCGCGTGTTAACGCTTTTAAACCGAGTGTTTAACAAATAACTAATCAAATATATTTAGGTTCATGCAGCTTTTGCGGGTGCAGGCTTCTTCTATATTAAGTATTAGTAAAAGACTAATGTAAATTTTAAGTATAAGCGAGTAAAATTTGCGTTTCTTGTGAAGCAGTTTTAAAGATTGAATACTATTCACGCGGCTGAAGGCGATGAAGTGTAAAATATTTTTAAATTTGCATTTTCATTTATGTCGCGTAGGTGCCAAAAATACCTTAGTAACTGTCTGTTACTTATACACACGGAAGAGTTATCTGTATATGCAAGTTGGCCGAAGCTGCGCCAGCTTTTCATTGAATTGAACACACCGGTGCCTGCAAGCGCAGCTTGTGAAAGATTGTTTAGCTGTGCAGGACTAATTTTTAGACCACATCGTTCCTCAATGACGGATCGTAATTTTGAAAATTCTCTTCTGGTCAAATTAAATAAAAATTTTGTCTAACTTACAACATGTTTTCTCAATTCTATTAGCCAAAAGAATGGATGTAACTTTGTCGTTGTAACTGTAACTAGTTACAAAAATTTTAAAATAACTTAGTAACTGTAACTAGTTACTTTTTTTCAATTGTAACTTGTATCGGTAACTAGTTACTTTTCTGATGATGTAACTGTAACTGTAACTAGTTACAAAAAATAAGTAACTATTACAGCACTGCTGTTAAGGCAACGAATGGAGATCAGTTATAACCCTTCCTGCAGGACATTTTTGATAAATAAAGAAAGTTCAACTAATATAATGTAAAGCAATCGTGTGCACATTTCATGTACACGGTAGCCAATGTTTCCCATCATCTTTCAGACAAACCTGAAAGTATCTGTGACACTTCGACGTTATGTTGTGTGACTGTACACGGAGTGTATCCAACGCTGACTGTTCAAGATATACGAGCTACTGGCAGTGCAGAGACGTACAGTAAAGTTCAACTGTGGAATTTGTTCTCCCTTGAAAGGTTGGTATATTGGTTGACTTCACTTAAGGTAATTCCGCAGTAATTGTTCCCGAAATGAGAATGTGCTGAAACTTCCCAGGCATGGAGTTTATGATATACTTAAAGTAAAATCACACAAAAAAGTCTGGGTCACCGAACTCGTTAAGAAGATATGACAATCACAATATACCACCTTTACCCCAATATGGCGCCATCTTGACGCTCATTACGAGTAACAGCAAAATCACAACAGCCCGATATTTATTGACGTCTTTAGCGCGGATTTTGCTTTAGTAAACCTATCTTGTAATTATTTTTGAAAAAATATTGTGTTTTGAGCAAAATGAAACTACCTAACGTGTACAATTCTGATCCATAAATGTCTTTTCCACATTTTTTCACATATCTTTCTTTGAGAACATGCATTGATAAAGGATTATAAGATCCAGAAATAATTTTTCTTTTAATTTCGGATATGAAATGTAAAATGCATTAAAGAAATAAATTATCAGTTAAAACACGGGGGTCACCGATCTTTTTAGGGAATTGTGGCATTAAAACGTGACATACAAGTTAATAAATATACTACAGACACAGGAACTCTAGCTACACTTTTGTATTCCTTTTTTGAAAACATTGATTTTAACGTAATTCTTTGCACGAATATAACCAAAGATGTTTTGAAGTAACATAAAATTGTCATAAAATGATTTTTTTTTAAACGGTACGTATAATGAATGAAATTATAAGTTATAAGCCGTGCGCAGTAAAAGTGCGCAATGCAAAACTGCGGAATTACCTTAAGCCAGTTCAGGGCGAATTCGCCTAGTAGAAAACTGGCTTTACCCCAGCTGTTTTTATGACACGAGACAAGATTTGGATTCCCTTAATGCCCGCGGTTTCCATATTGTCGTAAAGATTGAGTCACGAGCTTTTTTAACCGCAGAACCGAAAATAGAATACTCATGATTCATATTTGGTTTCGAGGTAAAAACTATTATAATCTGGCCGTCGAGAAAGATCGCGACTCTGTTTTTACGACTGTTACGACTATATGGAAACTTGGCTTAAAGATTGGTTTACTCGTTATTGCTATTATCAGTCTTGTATTTGGAGGCAAATAAAAAATTTCTTAATTTCTTGCTTCCATGTGAGAAAACTTAAACTTGTTTTTTTATCATATGTAGTTTTAATTCAGTTTTGGACTCGGATCCCCAGCCTGTCGAAGCCATGAGTTCTGCTGCAACACGTTACAGGTATAGGAGTGAAAAATTGTGTATTTTGTGCAGATGTGCGATTATATTTCGTCTCTGGTTTCCTCCTGTAGCCCTTACTGGACCTCTAGGAAAACAGTTTAGAAAAAATCATAGAGCTATCCAGTAATAAAAAAATTAGTTTAGTTTAGGTTAAAGTGCACATGACATGAAATTTCTTATTTTCTTAAATGAAAGAACTCTTTAAGCTGTAGTGTATATATATCTCATTTTTCAGTTTCTTGTTTTTATGGTTTGTTCGCGAGATATTTCAATTTGTTTGATATGTAAATGAGTGTGAATATGTCCGATAATTTATGACGTCACATTGGTTGCAAGCTCAACTTACACTGGCTATAAAACTATTAACTCTAAAAACACGTTTTTGTCCAGTGTTTCATCACATTTACCAGTGAGTGAAGTTTGAAATTATCATCTTGGATGAGCGCAGTGATATTCAACCATTTTGAAGAGCTTGCAACCAATGTGACGTCATAAATTAGCGGACATATTCACACTCATTTACATATCAAACAAATTGAAATATCTCGGGAACAAACCATAAAAACAAGAAACTGAAAAATAAGTTGTACTACAGCTTAAAAATTCTTTCATTCAAGAAATTAAAAAAAAATTATGTCAAAAACACTTTAACACTGGAGCAATAAGGGAGAACAATTTAGAACAGGGCTTATAAACGTTTTCAATTATGTAACTTCTAATTTTGTTTAGTGATCGTCGTCGCAAGCCAGTGTCAACGAGAGCAGTTGTCGGGTTTGCCTTTGGCAGCGCTGGTTGTGGCTCTCGGTCAACTGTTTTCTATCTGAGTTTGCTCAATAGTGGATCTGTCCCCGCTGAATGGTATGAAACATAATACTTGAAACTGATATTATTCGGTCTAGTCCGTGGATTAAGGTAGATTGATACGTATCAAATGCCAGGTGCGCCAAGATAGGTTTCAGTAAAAACGAAGCTCTAGGAAGATGTTCTGTGACTGGTTGATTATGACAATGACAAAAGACGTAATTGGCTTACATAAACAAAAGGAATATTGTTCTTGCTTCGTTCTTTAGAAAATCCATTTTATAGCTTATTCTTTTGTCATTGTCATAATCAACCAATAACAGAACATATCTTCCTATATAGAGCTTCGTGCCGACCCAGAGTTTTGGGCGCCGGGGCCAATCCTCCTCGCATGCTCCCGTGCTTGGAGGTTATACTATAGGTCGGGGGCAAATTTGGGATAATTTGCATTTACATATCTTGAACTCGTATGAAAATCAGCTGGTTTATGCTGAGTGAGTGATGTTCCTTAATCTTGAACGTGTATAACTAACATTCTCAATCAGCAATCTCAATCTATCTCGGGTATCAGAAATTGCAAATTCCTGCATTTTGGCAGAGTACGTATTGACTGTAATAGCCATGCATATTTCGCTTTGTTTTTGTCTGAGGGAAACGTTTCTGACAGTGTAAATATTTTGTAAGTGTTCATGCCGATTTGACTTTCAAATACTCGAAGCTAATGGTCGTAATGACTAAAGATCATTTTCGTGAAAGTAGTATATCAATCAAACTTTTGATAATTGTCTTCTCAGGACGTTCCTGTTTCCTAATGACCTGCAACTCGAACTGGAGTACTGGGCTGAGACTGGAGAGTATAGTTCTGAAGAATTACAGCAGGTAACGCCGGATTCAATTCATACTTCGAAATATACTAAACTAACTTAAGCCCCGGTCAAGCGAGGATCGATGAGAGTTGATGAAATTTGATGCAGTTGCAACTCTCGTTCTCGCGCGCCTTGCGAAAATTTCACAATGTGAAGTGTTCCAATGGAGAACTTGCATGTTAGACTAAATTTTAATCTAAGTAAAGAGAAGGGAATCAAACACCCACCACAGCTTAAAACAACATAATGAAATTAGTAAAATTGCAAAATTTGGTTGCGAAACGTTGTAAAGCTTGGAAAATATAGTCTTGTAAAGTTTGCAACTTTTGTATTTGTTTGTATTACGAGCGGAAATTGTTACCATTTTCCGCTCAAAAATGGTAACAATTTCCGCACGTAATACAAACATATACAAAATTTGCAAACTTTGCAAGGCTATATTTTCCGTATTTTACAACATTTCGTAACCAAGTTCTTTACGGCAATTTACTTTTTTTTGCCTATAGATCAAAAATTTAGTCTAACATGCATGTTGTCTATTCCATATACGAAATAATAATTTCACGTGTGAAATTTATTTTCACATAACCTTTAATTTCAGATGCATGTGAAAAAATATGTGAAACTCAAATTTCGTATGTGAAAATTCTACATTTCACATATGAATGAGCACTTTCACATGTGAAATGTGATCCAGAAAGGGCCATAATGTACTGGTCGAGTACCTGGAGAAAATCTGAGGTGTTTGGAAACACATATGTGAAGGTCCATTGCCACTCAAGACAAATTTCCACGGACCTGAGAAAATTTCCCGAAAATATCATTGTTAAAAGTTGAAAATTTTCAACTTCAAAATGTTTTTCCGACGGAAAATTTGTGTCGGCCAATCAATGGAAATGGGCTTTGACTGAGGCGAAATTATATAATCAGACAACTGTATATTGCAAGAATGAATCGAACCCCCAATGAAAGTACATACATCCATGCTGTAACCAGTAGACAGATTTAGATCGAGGACGCGGACGTCAAAGACGACGTGAAAATGGCATGTTGTGCCCATGTATGGATATGCAACGCCATTTTCACGTCGTCTTTGACATCCCCGTCCTCGATCTAAATCTGTCTATTGTGCTCCCAACACCTATCTCAAATTCAATCTCAATGCAATGTGAACGTGTTCAATTTCAGATGCAGACTATTGGCCATCATTTGTTTAGTGTGGAACCCAGCAGCGGTACACTTGCAGCCGGTCATGCGCAGACAGTCATACTAAGATACAAGTAAGTACGGTTCGTATCGCGTATCACGTGCTTGGTGAAACCCGCTCATTTATTCTGTTTCTTTTCTTTTTAGACACAGCATAGTTGGCATCAATAGACTGCCTGTTCTCTTTAAAATCACCAGAGGACGTGAAGTTTTGGTAAGAAAAGAACAGACCAATGAGCTCTTGATATATATTTGTAATGGGCCATTCCATTTAATACGT